AAAGGTCACCAACGCACGCCGACCGCAGCCCGCACACCCTTGTCGGAGTCCTAATTACACTTTGATCCGGCTTATATGCCTTGTTGAAACTGACTTGAGGATTTTCTGCCCAAGTTAAAAGGTTACCAAAGAGAACATGCTATGGTGCGCAGTTCAAACATAGGTATCCTGCCTTAATGGCTTGATATATGTCACTTGGGGGCTTCCTGCTCATTGAGCATAGCTATGACTATCCTATGGATTTGGCTTGTACGCTTAGATTGAATTATTATTTGGGGGCTTCCTGTTTAATGAATAGAGCTTTGTTTACCCTTATAATTGGCTTGGACGCCAGGTGTATTCACCAAAAATCCGGGTTATCCTACCTTTGTATGCTTGCCACTCCGACCAGGTAATCCTGGAATGACTCGTCGTACTCTTGACAGTCAATCTTATAAAGACCCTGACCTTGTCAAAGTTAAAACGATGATTGGTCATGTGAGGCCCGACTTACAGGTTTGAATTAAGGATTAACTCAGTGGTTGTGCGTCCCTTGAATAGCACTTGATATTGAGGCTTGGCAGCCTATGAAAGCCTTGTTTTTCCGATTTGTAATTTTTTATGAACATCGTTTTGGTTCATGTCCTTGTACCATATTGACATATGGTTTAAAATTGATTCAGGCCAGGTAGCCTTAATCTTTATGACTCATATTTGAGTATATCCGAGGTTTCGATAACCTGACCTGGCTTTGGACGATAAGTCGCCAGTGTGCTTTGATTGTGCACTTAGAGCGCTCCGCTCTAAGTCTTTGGGTTGTTACCCTTGCTGCATCTGGCGTTATAAGCCGGCAGTATGAACTGATTTCACAGGCCATGTAGCCTTGATTATATGACTCATCATTCATCATCTTTGGGTTTGATAACCCGCCCTGATAGCAGACTTTAAGTCGCCAGTATATTTTTCCTTGAGCAATCAAAATGATGATATTTCATGACTTCGGGTTGATACTGGCTCTAGATTATAATTATTAAGGCATCATCATGGTATTAATTTACATGTATGTCTTTCAATAATGGTATGAATATGTTGGGTTTGATAACCCGCCTTGGCTTTGGACATTAAGTCGCTAGTATATTTTGGATTGCACCATTGGAATCATGCGCTTATCAATCATTGGATTGTTATCCTCACTGGATGTGGCGATGTAAGCCGACAATTTGAGCCAATTTTCCAGGTATGTTTTAAATTCTTTGATGAATATGCGAGGTTTGATAACCCGCCATGGCTTTAAGACGCGAGTATGTTTAGGCTTGAATAGCCTTAATTCTGGTCTTTTCCATATATAATTGCATAAGACTACATTATGTTTCGGTTGTTACCCGCCCTGACTTTTGACGTTAAGTCGCCAGGGCATATGTTGTTTAAACTTTGTGCGGGATTTGCAGAGCTACGACTTACATAAATGATTAAGTTCAAGCCCATCATCAAAGATTGAAATTGTTGTTTCAAAAGGGTTATCAATTATTGATTTTCACAAAGGCTATAAGCCACCGGGTTACAAAAATTCCGGATTACAATGGATGCGCATTAAGTCACCATCGGCCAAGAGCCACTGAGTATTTAAACTCTGGATTTACTCGTCAACAGAGAAGATCTTGTGATTGTTTTCACGCCAGGTTATATTCTTCCAATTTTTAATAGCTAGATATGGCTGGATTTTTCATTATGGTTATTATAACCCGTATTGAATGATTGAGGTTTTCAAAGTCGCTTCAGCGCAATGGTTATTATTTCTTCATCAACAGATATGATTTATTTTAGAATAGAAGGAATAGTCCCGAGTTGTTGCAGGCACACAACCGGGCACTTGGGGGATACATTATTCAAATCATGATTATATCAAATATGGAAGTCCCATGTCCCTACAAGCATGCACCATGACACTTCGGGGCTAATGCAAAGTCATTTTTTGCTCGCCTTATTGAAGACCCGACTCATCACATCGTAATGAGCCGGCCCTTGGGGGCTACTAATTCACCCTGTCAAAAATTCAAAGTACACAAGCCTTAATTCATTATACTGAAGGGCCCATTGCTCAGTTGGTAGAGCACAAGGCTCTTAACCTTGTGGTCGTGGGTTCAGGCCCTACGATGGAGGCTACATCATATGATGTTATTTTCAATGAAGTATATATAAAGTCCCAGCTTAGTATTGTCTTGCTGAGCCGGCCCTTGGGGGCTACACGTTGCTGTTCAAGTCTACATGATCATATCTACAAAGTCACTGCTCATTATTGCATAATGACATGACCCTTGGGGGCTACACTGGTTGAAATTTTTATGAGCATAAGGCAATTACAAGTCCCAGGTTGCTACAAGCATCACAAGCCGACACTTGGGGGCTACAAGTGATATGCATATAAGGGAGTTCTACATCTTCAAGCTGGCTGAAAATCAGATGAGTATTTCAAGACCAATATTTTGTTAAGCATTAGGAGCTGAATCAAATGAATTATTCTTCACAATATTTTTTATGAGAAACCAATGTCAGCAAATTGATTATGAGGCTAGCCTATTGACCCAGACTTTCTAGAAGAAGGAAATGACAAGGACTTAAGGATGATCAGGTGCCGGCTTACAAGAACTTTTAACCCGGAGCGCAACCTGTCAAATATGTTCTTGTGTTTATTTTGTAGGATGAGTTTAACATGGATAAATCCAAATTAAACCGGGGGCTAATGTCGGGAATATACCCCGCGGTGTAATCCAGTCGGATGTATGACCCGGCCGGACTGGCGACTCACTGGTGACCTACCCTAACCCGGTGACTGTCTAGTAACCTGCCCAGAGTTGGCGGCTCATTGGTGACCCGGCAGGCGGGTCAGAGGAGAGACAAGACCCGGTGGCCCAGAAGGCGGCTCAGGGAAGGCTGACTCATGTTATGGTGGGCCGACCTAAGATGAAAGGCATAAGGAATATTCTCCTACAAAGGAAGCAAGACTAGGACTCCACTTGATATAGAATAGTCCTAATCCTACTAGTACTCCACATGTAACCCGCCCCTCCAACTTATATAAGGAGGGACAGGGCACCCCAAGAGGGACAAGTTTCACGAGTTGGACAAGTTAGGGTTAGACAGACAAGTCTATAGTTTTCGAGATAGAGCACCCTTGTAATCGTGATCATCATCATCAACATCAATGAAGCAGGATGTAGGCTTTTACCTTCACCATGAGGGGCCTAACCTGGGTAAAAAACATCGCGTCTCTCGTCCCGCTCAACCCCTCTCAAGCTACCACATAGATGTGTTGGCCTCACGACTAAGTCCTCACTTTAAGGACATCTGCCGTGACAAATCCACGACATGGACCACACTCCGTGGCCGCCGCCTCGGCATCCAAGTCAGACAAACCACCAACCGTGCACATCACAATGTACCCACCATGGTAGGAAGAGTAAAAATGTGCATTCTTTCATTCCTAGCCCAACATCAGCCACAGATTTTGGTCAATGCCTCCGCGGTAAGAGGCGCACACTCCTGCATATCCACCCAGTCCCGGTGGATTGCGAGAGACACCAACATGTGACAACCAGCCGCAGCCTTCAAGCACGGTCGCATGAAGCCATGTCCATGGTTCTTGCCACCAATCTGTCTGATAGAATAGAAGCACCCACAAGGAGAGAGAACTCATCACCTGTGGGCATCTCTCGGACTGAGACCACCATCGCCTACCCAAAGCAGGAGCTCCGACCCGCCCCGGGCCCCAATCTGGTTTGTCCGAGCACGAGCCCCGGGTCCTGGACATCTCCACCGCGCGGACATCCCATGCCGGTCCGAACCCATGAGACGAAAGGAGCCACCACCACCCGCACGCCAATCACTGTCGCAAGAGCAGCCGCAACCTCACCCATCATTGGTGCACCCACAACCACCGAAACGCGGCCCCTACCAAACCACCATCACTATCGAGCACCACTGCAGGTACGCAACAAAGGTCACCAACCCACGCCGACCGTAGCCCGCACACCTTTGTCGGAGTCCAAGACTAGGCCTGACCGGAGGCCGGCAAGCACGCCACCACCAGCGACAAGCCGAGCCCCGTCACCACAACGAGCCGAGCTGTCCGTATCCCCGGAAAGGCAGATCCGAGACGCACTCATCCCATCCCTGCCGATGACACGGTGCGCACCCCCGCAACCCACAACCCACAACCCTTTCATGCCGCCGCCCACAACCCGCGCCACCGCCGCCGGCTGCCGCCGTGGTGCCGCCACATCCCGTCCACACGCTGCGCCGCCAAGCGCCGAACGGACGAAGGAAGGCACCCCTCTG